TCGATGTTTTAATATGATTTTGTATTGTTAATTCCATTTACAATTTAGTTATTTTACCCAAAATAATTTATTTTATCACAAAAAAATGTAAAATATTTAATCAGCTTAAACCTAAATATATTTTTATCTTGTACTTAACATTAAACAAATGTTGAATGAACGCAGCGTCCGGTGGTACTCACGCGGGTTCGTTAACGTTCATTTTTTTATTTTGTCTTAAGTCAGGCTATGTCGAGGAAAATGAATAAGGTGAGTGGACTGAATGAATGAATGTAGAATGAATTTTCAAATCATATAACAATTAAATGTATTATACATGAATCACATAATCTTACAAACACCAATGTGGATAGGAGGACACTTAATACTAATGCCACAATGGCGCTAATATAAATGTGAATGAAGCATTATACTTGTGGGCTAATTGAAACGGTTGATGATAATGTTGAATATTCAAAGGATCATTTGGAGTCGAATGCAAGTAGCTGGCCAACGTGTACAATATGATGTGAACGGTAGTGTAATACATCTCAGAAAATATATAGACTCAACGGCGATATGCTGAGCACACAAGGATGCGACAATCGAAAAGGTGATATTTTTCTTTTTACAACAAAACAAATACAAGAACTACTGGTTTGCAAACGCCATAGAGCTTATAGCTAAAATGCGCTAAGATGGCGGCGATAATCAGACATAAAGAGAAGACCGACAACAACTCGGTGTAGCACAACGATGACATAAATAATCACAACACAATTACTCGACAGCACATTCGATCAATGTGTATCCAACAAATGTTATTGATATACACATAGCAAATCAATATAGTTATAATAAATAAAAATTAATATAGTTATTAACGATCAAAATATAACATGAATTGAAATTTTAATTTATAAATACTTATATATACCAAACCCAACCAAACTTATAAGTCTAATATTTTTAACTTATTTTGATCACCTTTTAGCTAAAAGTTGTAAATTAGTTGAAAATTTCAAAGAGATTTAAATGTATGGTTAAAAGTGCGCATTTCCACTTTATTCATTATAATATAAGCTATATATTATTATACTAGTACACATTTATGATTTGTACTAGCCAAAGGGTTTAAATCTCCCCAGGGGCTTATGTGATCCGAGCGGCGACGATTATTATTCTAATCTAACTATAGGGATATGTCAAGCATGGATAGAGTACAGGGTCGTTTTCAGAATAATTTTATGGAAAGCTATATAAGTAATGATAATTTGTCCAAACTCAAATCCTTTAAACATCTCGTTAATTTATAATTTTCATGTCAAAACTTTAGAAATTTAGGGTCATTCCTGTTGACTGATTGATCAAATATGATTCTTATCGTCTATAATAGAACCTATTTAATTTATCTTTCCATGACAACGCCGTTGCATACATACAATTATTTTTGCTTCACTGCAATTTTTAAACAAACACTAAGTGCACACATTTTTCTTATTTTTAACAATATTTTAATGACTTTTAATTTCAAAAATTATTTAAATTCTACGTCGTAAAACATTTAATCTTCCATTACAAATTTTTAACATTATTTTCAGTTTGTAATACAGCCAACAAGCAGCAATGAGGTAAGTGTTAAAATTATTAATGACTGAAATGTATAAAACTAATTTAATTTAACTTAATTAAAAAGGATAGCAAGATTACGAGATTATTACTTTATCGACTATTTCCCTATACATTTTTAAATTCTCTTTGATTCCCTTTAATCTTTGGAATTTTTTTCACTCAATTACATAACAGTATTATGTCATACGAATAACATTTTGTAGTAGTTTGGTAATAACAATTTATAATAATGTACATTAAGTCCATAGCTATAGTTACAAATGATGATTACGCTGATAGTACAGGCAAAGGGTGAAATATTACAGGTGAAGTTTAAGCTATAAAGTTAAGTACATATAAAAAGTATAAATATTCATCTGTAACCCAACCCAACCGACTATATTTAAAAAAAAATCACGATTGCTCTATATTCTTTGTTACAATTTGTATATCTATTTGAGCATACTACTGTTTCAAATTTTGTTATTTCAATGTAAGTTAACAGGCAAATAAAATAAATTATGCCGTGGAATCTTATTTCGTGACAAAAGTTTTAAACAACGAATGTCAGCCAACTGTTTCATTTATGAAGAGTGGCCTATATATAAAAAAAAAGCTCTAACAAATGGATTAAATTACTAAAACATTAAATTGATAAAAATGTCAGCATTGATTATATTGTCGCGTATATTAAAACTAAGTTATGATTATCTCATAAGTAAATTAAAGCAAACTTTTAGTTATATTTATGAAAAAAATGTTATGTCAAGTATAAATAACAAAAACGTTAATGAGTACTTATACAAAGTTTTATCTTTTTAAAACGGTAGGAACAATAAGTAACTTAATGCGCAGTATTATTTATATTTAAGAAAATTAAATTTGAAATATATGAGAGATTATTTTGTAAAAATAAATTTATATTCTTTAAATATTACAATAAATCTCTATCTCTTAAGTTTATCATAATTGATATTCGTATTTTTTAAGGTTTCTTGTCGAGTTTGCTTTCAACACTTAAAAGTATTTAAAAAATAAAAGTTATTACTTTATGGCCTAGTTTGACGCCTTTTGCCAACAATTTCAAATCATTAGGTTCAAATACAAATAATTTTTCACAGTCAGTTTGAAAGACACAATATTATTTATTTCTATTCAATAATACAATAAAATGTGTTATTTCATAATAAGTATCGTGTACACTATGTCTTGTATACAGAAACCATTTACTTCGTTTATCCTTATCTTTAGGGCTCTGTATAATTTAACGCGATTTCTTGGATTTTTGGCACCGTAATCGCACATAAAGTTTCTAATAAATTTTTAATACTTTCTATGCTTTATTTATAAGTTGCAGAGAAATGCGTTACTAATGACAGCTTGGCGATTGATGAAACCATATAACATTTACAATATTATAATTATTGAATTTCATTGTTTGAATCCAGAAGATTTCTCCATTTTTTAAATTTATTTTATTTATGAAAATATTAAAGCACAAAATAATAAAATTAATATTCTGTTGTTTTCTGTCACCATGGCTTGAATAAATATTGTTGACTGAAACGAAATCTACTTTTCGTTAACTATTTTATTGTTAAGTAAGGCTGTGCATAAACGAGTTAATAAATTAAAGTAGAATAAATATTTTCGCTTAACGGAGATATTTAAATTTTACTTTAACTTAATTTCTCTTTTGATCATTTAAAAATTAATGAATGTATAATTTTGTTATTTTTTAGTAAATTTCTAAATATACCACTAAACGTTTTTTTTAATTAAGTCGACATAAATTAATATATTTTTGGATGAAAAAATAGCAAATACGATAAAACTGTATAAATATGATATTTTTGTTAACCTACTAGTAATATTATTAACTTAACTCGTTAGAATAATAAGATTTTGTCAATTTTAATTTTAACTTAATTTATTTGAAAAAAATACGGAGTAGCTGTAATTATTAACTAGTTAAAATTTTTCAATAACTTAGTTTTAACGAGCTATAAAAAATATGAACTTGCCTAGGTGGTTGAAAAAGTAAGGAAACAGGTCAATTTTTGTAAACAATGAAAGCGATTGAAACTCGTTTCCTTACTTATTGAACATCTATCTAAAAAAGTAATTTGTTTATTAAAATTAAGTATTAATTTTATAATTAAAATAATTATTATCTAGTGCATCACTATATTTTTTTATAAATATTCAATAAAATAATATCGAAAATATATTTTAATTGAATAAGCTGCTTAATTTTAACATGGTTAACAACTTTTTTGCAAGTGTCACTAAAAGAAGATTACATTAAATAGTATTTTTTTCATTTTGACTATGGTTAATAATGTTTATTATGAAATCGTTAGAAGTAAGATTTTATTATTCGAAAGACCTTATTGTTATATTTTTTAAAATATATTTTGAGCACTGTTAATAATTTCTACTACGTACACCGTTACTAACTGGTAAAATTAACCTAAATTCAAATTCTCATTGAAGACAACACTACTTAGTGTACTTTAAATAAAGTTTATCTTATTAAATTGTTAAAATCAACTGCATATTAAACTATAAAAAATGCACACGCTTATAAAAAAAAATAAAAATACGCCGGTTAACGAGTGTATCATGGATACAAGGTCTTGCTGAATAATCGGCTAACAGTTACGCTGTTATATAGGAGAGAAGGAATGGTATGAGAAAAATGAGAGTTAGAGAATAAAATATAAATTATCGGTCTTGTGCGTATAGTTTTTTGTCTGCTAACTCAAGCTTTAAAATTGTTGTCTTCTAGTCCACTCTCTCTGGTAGTAACCAATACATTTTTCAGCAGACTATTTTAAAATGTGATGTTTTAAGATGATTACATAATTCTATTTCATTTTAAGGTAACGCACTATATTAAAAAAATTGATTTTATTTTTTTAATATATCCTAAGAGAAATGTCTTAACAATCTAAAAACTAATAATAATTTAACTTATAAAAGATACAAAATTAAATTATAGAAAAAATTAAACCTAAATCATTTTAAAAATATTTAAGCTTATTCTTTGAAATATATAGAATTTAGAATTTATATGTCTACGTATAACTTTATAAGACAAAATTAATATCAATATAAATTTATGATTTTTACTACTGTTACTATTATAAGGGTCAGTAATCNAATTTTAATTGCCTTCTTTTACTACTGTTACTATTATAAGGGTCAGTAATCCGTGTTGATTATGTTAATAAATATAAAAATAAGTACACAATAAAAAAGTATTGGTGAACCATCATATTATTATTATCAATATAATACAATAAACTTTGGTAGACAACTATAGATAAGATTTAATGTCGAGGTTGAACGAAGATGGCCGATTGTCGAGGGTACGGAGCAGTTCCACAAGTCGTCATCGCCACCGCCGTGGTCGGTACTCGTGGGGAACAGAGCCAGTTGAATGCCGCCGTGTCGTGCCTTGCGGTCCATCGCCGGTCCTGCGATCATCCTAAGCGAGTTACACGCTAGTTTACTCATATTCGGAGTATAAATAAAAAATATAAACTGTAAAATAAATTAAAGAGAAGTTCGCGAGGATTAAATTTCGCAAAATAAAAATGAGTTAGACTAATTCTTTCCTTCATTTTATTTTTATCAAATTATTTTTTGTAGCCCCTGTATTATAGAATTTATTATTTTATTCAAACAGTATTTTTTAAATGTGGCGTCTTTATTAGTATTGCGTGCAATGTGTCTGTCAATCCTTCCGTCATAATACCTGATGATTACTTTGTTATTTGATTTCTATCATTTTTATGCTGTCATCTTAAAATGTGTTGCTGACGAATTGGGATTTTTATGTTGAGATATTGGTTTGTGCATTATTACATTTTTTTATATAATTTTACTTTAAAAGTCCGGATTAATATCTAGTTTGTCTCAGATAACATTCCTCATTGATATACAGGGTGTTCAGTAAGTTAGGAAACAGTTAAATTGTTACAAACAATGAGTACAATAGAAATTCGTTTCCTTATTTACTGAACACTCTGTATATTTTTATAATGATACACAAAACGACATTATTCTTCAAATCATTCCGAAACACAAAGGGCGTACTATGATATTAATCCGGGTTTTTAATGTGAACAATATAACAATATGCAATGTTTTATTATTCTTAGTTGTTAATCAATGTTTCGGGGTGCAAATAGAATAATTTTAAATTTGAATATTAAATATCTTAAATAGTTTTAAAATTTTAAAAATATATGAATGACACCCCGGAACTCAGTGCTGTCGTGTATGTCTAATTAAAAAAAAAAGAGTTAGTTTTTAATAAAAAATTGTATACATTTATGATTTCAAACAAAACTATAAAATATAATGATAACAATCGTCGTCCCTTGTTGTGTTTAACACCAACGCGTATTTAATCCTAAATATGTTTGTGTAATATAATAGTCTATAGGATATAGGCTATAGGCTATTGGCAATTGTTTTAGAAAATTTAAGTAAAACTTACAGTGGAAAATAAAATATTTGACTCGCTTTTTGAATGTCAGTGTTGCTTGGAGCCATTCGATAATTTAAATGGTTCTCATAACGACTGAAATATCTGTGAAATTAAAGTGAAATTACAAGTAGAGGTTTAGAACTTTTGTATGAAAAAAACAAAACATTATATGGGGTTAAAGTTGCGGTATCAAAGTGGTAGACGAGAACAAAGCGGATCCAAGTGGACAAGGGACCGTATGAAACTTAAAGAATGAAACAAACCTTTAGTACCTTTTTTGTTCGTGGTCCTATTATTTTTTAACTAAAACCAAGTACTATTATAATTATCTAACAATGGTCCAATTGTGATGAGGTTAAGGTGCATTCTTCTTAAATTAATTTACATCACTATTTGGAGTCAAAAGAATAAATATCCGTTTAAATTAATAAAAAAAAAAAACGTAAAATCTAGTGCTACTTTGGACTTTAGAAATGGAGGAGGAGGTGTTCATTTAATATTCATTACTCGTATTGTTCACTCTCCCTGTCACAACTCGGAGAGCATTTCGTTTATATCCGCCCCTTATTCCGAATACTGATTAATTTTGCTTCGACAAAAAAAATGTCAATTTTAGATCTATCTAATATCCCAACTGTTTTCCACCATCGTATTGTCTGTAAAACCTTAGAAATCCTTGTGTTGCTTTTATTATGTCATTTTGTACGGTTTCTGTAGTACTAACTGAGATGTTATTTTGAGTATATATGTAATATGTATTCATGTAATATATTATATTTGTCTCGGTTTTCCTATTCTGTCTGCCACAAATTTAATTTTTCTACAACCATCTCAATCGTAATTGGTTTTTGTTTGTTTTTTTTTCATTGTCAAGAAAAACCATTAAAAATTCAAATAAAATGATAATTGTTTGAATGAAAATATAGAATACTCAACTTTAAACCGTTTAATAATTTATTATTGATATTTATACAGACGTAGCTTTAATATAATTTGTTGGGGTTCATTATTAAAATCTTCCAGTTATTGCAATTCGGTTTTATTTTATTTATCTTCAGTATTTAATTTTTTAAGTTTATAGGATGGATAATAAAGTAGAACATAAGATGAGTTCAAAGAGCAATCAATTCAGTAGACGATACCTTAATGAAGTTAGTTTCAAAAATATTATCATTTTTAATGTTTTTATTGGACACTAAACATAATATTATATTGTTAGTTATACTGTAGTCGCCAGTTATCGATCGGTAAGATTATTTTGATAGTACTCATAAAAATAGTGCATAAATATTTTACGGTCTTTCAATTTTCAAGTAATTACTGATCTTATATTTCGTGCTGAATTTTAGTAGATAAGACTAGAAATATTGTTTATGACGACTCAAAAAAATAATTGAATGCATAATCGTTGAAAAAAAGAAGCTGAAACTGTCATTTACAAAATGATGGTGGATAAAAAACAGACATCTACTCCTTACCTATTACAAATGCCGCGTTGCTCTCTCTTAATCAACAGTGGGCGTTGAACATTTGATAATAGTTTTGACAGGTCATGCCAAACAGATTTGTTCGAGTCTAACGATGTAGTGTGTAATAAATGTATTGTACAACGGTATAATATTGCGAAGATCGTTTTTTAACGCAAATAAAGTTTTGACGGGGGTAGTATGCAATTCATTTTTGGTCATACAATCGATTTCTGTTGTCCTAGTACACGCAACAAAGACGGTAATTGTTGTCATTTATTTGTCACTGGAAATTTAATATTTTTTTGCTTTTGGCCACTTATTATGGTTATAATGTTATAATGTTTGTTCAGTGTTAATCATTTGTAGTTTTAAGACAAAGAATAGCGACGCGCCTAAGATAAAAAAAAAATGACGTAATGTTAAAATACATTGATTATATATAAATTATAGGTCTCTGTCGCTAAGACATGATATAGAAAATTTGAATAAAAACATTTTAGTTAAAAGCTCCGATGCTTGAAATAACACAAAAAGGAACGCATGAAATTATGATTGAAACGTTATGTTAAAACAATACAATATTACATTCATGTATAAACTAATAGTGGAAACCTACTATATCATTCAGCTTTATTCATGCAAACTCTTGAACGATAAAACGAGTAAAACAAACAAAACAAATAGTAGGTAGCAATAAAACGATTTATACGGTAGAATAACGATCATACACTTTATTTATTACCGTTAAATGTGCATTGTGCGAATAAAAACAAAACACTATATTGTTCTTGTGGTTATTAAAATCTATGATTTTATCTGTCTGCATGATATTAACTCGAGAAAAAATTATGGAGAAATACACGATGGACAGATCGTGTATTTATAAGTTAATGAATAAGGTGTCAAGCGAATGCGTGCAGTTATTTTGTGGTTTTTTTTTCATTTATTAAATGTAAACCCATACGTTGGTTGTTATTCGTTAGGGTTGATTGCAACCGCTGCCACAAGATGCATAGGGTTTAATAAAATTCGATAATATTTGAGCGCTATATGGAGGTCACCTCGTGTATAGGAAGGGATGGAAATGTCCGATCAAGGGATATAGACGGTTTGTCGACCTGAGTTTTATCAGAAATTTGTTTTTTTTCCTATCCGAAGTACATCATTTTTGGTAGCTAATAGAGGGTTGTGAAATATACATCGGCGTGGTGCTGTTTGTTCATCATCAATCATTGAATCGACTGGGTGGGGTGCCATCGTTGTGAAATTACACTGACTCCTAATCCTTCTGTATACTTCCTATCTATAGTTTTGCAGGAACCACTTTCATTTAGCACGTCAATCATATAATATTATAACGTATATGAAAACAAAAGTTTCCCACAAAAACCTTTATACTGTTAAATATTATAACTTAAAGCTTGAGCTATATATGGAAGTACTTATGAGCTGTACATACGAGTACTTTGCTTCATTATTATTGCCGTAGAGACATACTTAACTGTTTGGTAAGTTTTGACAAACTGCTCAATTCTCATTAATACAATTTAATTGAATCCATTAGTAATTAAAATAATATACCTGCCTATTGTTAAGTTTACATTGAAGATAAGTAAATTGTTGATAGTTTATTTGATTGGTTTATCTTTGAATAGATAAGATACTAAAATTTTTATTTAAAAAGCAAATATACATTGAAGGTAGTGTTAAGAATTTAACAAAGAAATAAATGAAATAACTTGTTATTTTAAAAATATAACCTTTTACAAAACAAATAACTTATGCATACTAAATGTATTCAGTAAATGTTAAGTGTTTTTTTCTGATAAATCTCAAAGAATTTTAATTGCCTTCTTATGTGACATAAATGTCATATTTCGCAACTTTAAATTTGTAAAATTTAATAATCAAATAAATATTGTTATAATTGTTCAATAAATAATTTTTCTGGACTATTAGAATTAAATGATTTAATATTTTAAAACTAATAGATGTGAGCTATTTATCAGATGTTTTCTACAGATAAATTTTTTGTACATTTTTATTTTTAATAAGAAAAGTAAACTTAATATATCTTTTGTAAACAATTAAATGTGCTTTGTTTCGATTTTTTTTTAGAAATTTGCTGATTTGAATTAAAATTTTTAATTTAAAGGTCATGATTTTAAAATATTATATTATAGTACTGAAATAATATGTTACTATACTCAGTAGCTTCTAGTTGGGTCGAAAAGGGTATCGCACTCAACATCACAATAAATGTGTAGACCTATATTCAACTAAGTGTTTATCGCTAAGCAATATCCAAAGGTCGAAACGGCAAAATCCTGTTGCATTCAAACTGCACAAGACATGTTAATAACATTGTTTCATGTTCAGCCTTTATTCTTTTTTTAATCATTTAAAAGAAAATTTTGTATTGTTTAAATTTTGTTGCATTTTAATTTGAAAAGCTAATATAATAAATTTACTATCGATTTCAAAAGAGTATTTTCGTTTTCTATGATAATGTTAACTAATATTAATAGTTAATCAGTTGAAAAAAAACACTGATTAACTAAATTATATTAAGTTTTATATATAGTTTCATTCATTTCTAATCAATTTAATGAGAAAACTTTTTATTTTACACATGAATGGTAGTTTTGATAAAACATTGACTTTTTCAAAGTGTCTTGTATTCATTGTTTGTATAAAAACGAAACATTTTTATAAATATTTGAAGAGTACAGAAAAAAAGGTAATTGTACATTTCTGCAAAAATAAAATTATAAATTCCCATTATTTTAATGATAAAATAAAAATAGACTATTAAATATAAAAAATGAAAACATTTTTCATCGAACGATTTGTCCCTTTAATTACATGTCGCAATTTTCGTGAGGCTGAATTTCATAAACGATTGAATGATTGTCTTCGTGAATGATAAATATTCTGTTGATTATTTAAATAATATAACACTCATTTTATTTTAAATAAAAACTTAGTTATTAGCTATCAATTTTCACTTAGAAAAAACACACTTTTAATTATGTTGCTACATATTATTATTTCTAGTCATAACAATATTTCTTTTGGTTAATAATTATTTATTATACTTTTAAAGTACTCATGAAAAATTCAATGTTATTCTAAACTCTACTGGTATATTGTTTATTTTATCAGAAGAGAACCTCTTCAAGATGTATCAAAAGAATTAGTATTGTATACTTATCAAATTGATATTTTAAAAGAACAGTAGTATAGCACTCAAGAGCTAAAATGTTTTTGAGATTCTACGTTTTTTGACGATATTAACTGTAAAAATAAAACTGGAGTTGATCTTTAAAATCAGATCGTTTTATGTTGTACGGTAGTCATTTATTATTTTAGGGTATAGTCATTATCTTTAAAAATCTTCACTTTTATAAAACAGATAAATTTTATTTTTGAATCTCCCAAACAATAATTAATTTTAGTATTTTTAATAATTATTAATTACTTTTCGAGTTCATCTTTAAACACTGTCAACTCTATTATTTTTTAGTAGCAACATACATATTGAACTACCTAATAAAATAAAAAATGGTCTAATTAAGAAAATGACTGTTCGATAACAACTTTTAGCCTATTATTTCGGAAGTCGTTAATATTTTTGAATATTGAGTATAGGAAGGGCGCGGCATAGTAATACGTAATGATAAAAATAACATAACCCGCACCTCATTCCTACTCAATATTAAAATCTTAATAACTTACGGAATATTGGGCTAAAAGTTGTTTTAACCAGTTATTTTCTTAATTAGATCATTTTTTTATTTTATAAGCTAGTTAAACATATATGTTGCCGTTTAAAAATTAATTTTACACTCTCAAAAGGTATAAGGTATGAACTTAAAAAAAATTGAATTAAAACTAATTGAATAAAAATAATTATTTTAATTGGGCAACTTATGAAACGAAAAAATACCAAAAAGAATTTTCTTTGCATTATTATTTTAAGAATAATTAGTTACTAATGTTAAAATAATCATTCTGTATATATTAATTAGATTTTATACTGATAAAGCCAGCATAAATTTTGTTTGTTAAGAATATACTCTTGTGACAAAACAAAGTATTAATATTAATGGTCATCTCCTCTTGTATTTTGCTTTATATCGTCAAGTTTTTATTTTAATAAGTAAATTTTGTAAGTAATATTTAATTAATTACTTTTGTTAAAGTTTTCAACACATGATATTATTATTGTTTAACTATTAATGAAGAGAGTTTTATTTAAATAAATTATATACAAATAGAGTTTAGTTTACTTCAATTATTTTCAAAACATTTTTTAAAATGGTTTTTTGACGGCACAGTGATATGTAAAATAAATCAATCAATAAATATTAATTTGCAAGCATAATAAAATATGCTTGTGAGCTGCGCTATTAGAGCTATAGAAAACACGTAATTATAAGTATTTTGCCGACATAAATGTATTATTCTTGAAGGGCTCTAGTTGAAATCCTCTTTTGTTCCCAACTTGCTGTGAAATCGTGAAAACAAAGGCACAAGGTCATTCGCGCATGTATATTTGTTACACTTTTGGATAAAAGTTTATAGAAAACTCAGCATATCTATGACAATATGATATTTTTTACATAATCAGGTGTATCCGTAACTAATATATATATTTCTGCGTATAATTGTGTGTTTTTTTTTATGAAGAATATATTTTTAAGAAAATTAAAAAAAATAAAATATTTACAAAAACAAAAAAGTTATTTTAGATAATTCTTTAATTGAAGATTAAAGGTAAAAAGATGTATCATTCTTTGTTTTAATTCTTAATTTGATTTCATTAAAAATTGAATACAGTGCATATTGATATGATATTCTATCAGTGTGTTTTTATTTATTTATAAATTATTATCATTAAATGCAATATATTTAGAACATTATTCCATATCAGCAAAAATTTATATTATTTTATCTAATTATGACATTTGCTAATTCAGAATCGTAGCAAAAATATTGAAGTTATAAAAGAAAACTACCTATTTTGATATTAATTGTTGTCGGGCGATCAATATTTTTTTAATGAAATTGTAGCGATTCAGACAATGCGTGAAAAACTTTAAAAATATGTGTAAATACTTAATGAATTTACTGTTTAGCGCCTAAGGTGGAAGTTGTCCAACTGGTGTTGAAATTCGACTCTGGAAATGATTAGAGAGTTCACATGTCAATGCATTATTTCGTTGAGANTACTGTTTAGCGCCTAAGGTGGAAGTTGTCCAACTGGTGTTGAAATTCGACTCTGGAAATGATTAGAGAGTTCACATGTCAATGCATTATTTCGTTGAGAATTTTTTGTTTTGGTTTTAATTCACTTGGGTTAGCCGATGAAAGACTGATTTATAACGATGAGGAATTTCTGTTAAAATGTTCACAGCAAATTTAAAACATTTATATCCGACAAAGTTTACAGAAGACCATTTGTTAATTATTTAATTATATGAGCAATTTTATTTTTGGTAATGGAAAAAAATATTTTGCCTATGTCGCCAAGTAGTCGTATTAGCACTAAAAAAAGCACTCTGATTTGCAGTAGAAATATTAGTTTCAATATAACGATTAACCGCTTTGGCCCTGTATGGAATTCTAACGGACCATGCCAGAGTGCTGAGTCTATGTGTATTTGTCGCACGAGTGTATCATTTTCATAAGAGATTTTCTTAAATTAGACGTGTGCGCCAAGGCAATAAAATGAAATGACCAAGCAGCAAAGAGTGGCGGACTTAGAGGAGTGGTGAAGGCGAATATAAATATAACAGGCTTGCGTCTCTGATGTATCGTAACCACAGATGTCGGTGTAACGTTTTTAAATAAAAAATAAACGAGAAAAATAAATACTAATGAAAATGGANTTAAATAAAAAATAAACGAGAAAAATAAATACTAATGAAAATGGAAACAAATAATTGTAACTTTAGATCTATTTTTAATGAACTGCAAAGGGGAAGTTTGACGTGGATATGCGTGTTATTGTTGGAGTATACAGTAGTGTGCGTAGAAAAATAGCCAACTAGGAATATTGTTCAAAAGCAGATAGAACACTAGTACAAAATTTCGACTCCAAATTTCTGTAGTAATTGATAACTAAATTGTAAAATATTACCACGAATGCGATGCAAAACAAAAGAAGTTATCTTGTTCAGAATGAAACGTAATATTCCAATATTTTTCGCTTGTATTTTTATTAAATCGTATGATAAATAACCAGTTTCAAGGTTAATAAATTTAACGTGACAAATTTTATACTTGAAGAAATAATTTCTAAATTTTTATTTTAATGTGAATTGTACAATAAGTAGATTTGAAATCAACGTTTTCGGTATAATGTATTGCTATTACTTATTTTTTTTTNTTGCTATTACTTATTTTTTTCATTTTAATAATTAAGTTAAATTTGAATATAACTTTAAAAGAGATTAAATTAATTATAGTTGGAAAATTTAATTTCTTAGATAAATAGTTTGATTATATTTGAAGTTAATAATAGCAGAAATTCATAGTGCTACAAAAGTAAAATAAAACCGGTCAGTAATTAATTCATATCTACATTAATTTTTTTATATTTTCTATATTATAATCCTCTAAAATGTAATTAATAATTAAATTTAGGGCGTATAATTACTAATTATTTTGTGAG